TGGCCCATCAGTATTCAGTCATCTCACCACTCAAGACTCCAAGTGAGCCTCTGTGCTGATCTATTGCACTCCTAGAAGTTCTTGAGTCTACTTGTGGTACTTGCTTCCCACTTTCTTTTCCTCTTGACACAAGAAAGTTGAGACGCCTACTACACTGATCCCCTCACCCCAAGACATCCGCTATCCACCATCATATATACAACATACATAGAAATCTGGCCTCTTGTAACACCGTGTCTCTTCTGATGGTGAGGTTTAGCAGTATACTGTCATTAAGATTGTCATGAAGGTTTCACACCTGCAGAGGAGGACAGCTGAGGAATCACAGGCAGATGAGAAGACAAGTGTGTCAGAAAGAAGCAGACTACTGCACCATCCTGTTCACAGGCACTTTGCACTTATTCCACTTTGTCCCAAATACCATTCACTGACTTGCAACTACCCAGGTGGCAAACACTGGAATCTTTTGCCCAAGGGCATCCTAGCCTACACTGCCTACATAGCACACTCATCACCAAACTTGCAGGCTGGGTTGGGCTGAGGAATGGGAGGACTCTCCAAAACACTAATGAACTGCTCCTAAGCAGCCAAGAATGAAAAATTCACAATCCACTTCAGCTGCTGATGAGGATTGGAGTTTGGATCCCCAGCCTCAGCCTCTTAAAATTCATCTGCATCTGATACTGAATATTCAAGTCTATCATCTAACCAGTGAGAAGGAACTAGAGTCCAGGGCTTTCTCTTAGACAAGTGGCCTATCCACCAGCCTACAGAAATAGGCATAACACTTTCTCACTGTTCACACTGCTCTCTATCCAATAGAAACCTCAACAGAAAGGGCAGAGAAAATGTATACAAAGCTGAGAATCTAGGTCTAAACAGAGCAAGTAAAGGCAGTTGCAAAAGTTTTCAAAGCCTAGACTTAAAAGTCTAGGAAATTTTCCTCAAAAAATGGAGTCACTGGGTCACTGAGGTAACATTTGTACTGAATAATCCAGGCAGACAGGCTGAGAAGAAAGGAGATAGAAAATAATTTTTTGCAGAAAAGGTGCTTAGTTCAGAACAGATAGCTAACCTAGCATTGTAAGCCTTGGTCTTCTTACTCTGAAGTATGAAACAAATCATAAGTAAGAACCAAGCAATAGGAAAGTATGCAGGATGGGCAAATTAATTTGTATCTGATTTAATTAGAATTTGATGTCTCAGATCTTTTAACTAAAAGACAGACTTCAAAGTTTTTCTGAATAAAGCTCCATTCTGTTTCTCTACTCACTGTGAGACAGTGTGGGACAAAGGTGAACAAGACAGAAAGAAACATAACCAAAGCTGCCTCTTGCTCAGACACTGTGAATCAGGCACCCCAAAGTACCAGCATCTCAGGCTTAGCAAACTCAAGCCTTGTGGAGCGTGTCCTACCAGACTGACAAGAGCCACAGGGTTGGAGAGTGTGTCACTGTACCCTGAATTCTCTGGCTCCCTTCAGCAGTTACCTTCCTGCAAGGAACAACTGGAAGAGATAAACCACAATATCTCAATACTGAGGCCTTGTATTTTCTGCAGCGCACTAACCACTGGGTTTTCACACAAGAGTAGTCACCACAGTTTCATATATGTTTGGGATCCATCTGTGACTGCTTTTGGCCCATCAGGCCTGTACTTTAAAAGTATAACTCATCTTCATGAGAAGGACAACCAGAAACAACAGTTAGAAATTAGTTAAATAATTAAATTTCATAAAGAAAAAAAAAATGGAATAGATTCCATTCCACTACCTAAAATAACTCAGTATGGATGCATTCCTTTGTAGTATATCCCACCTTGGAGATATTGTTAAGTTAATCTTACTGAATGACTCTGTACTCCCATCCAAGCTGACATTTTTGTGGATTTTTCAGTTCTGATATTCACAAGCAATACAGTATTTACAGCTGTATCACATTAAGCTGGTTTCTCAGTGCTTCTCACTGATAGATCTATCAGCAACAAGGAATATTTAAAAAGGAAAGGCTGCTGCAGGAGGGGATGTTGTTGATAACTTCTCATTTGAGCAAAGGTGTTGAATTGGCCTAGAGACTACAACAAGAAGCAGTATTAGGGAAACTGCTTGACTTCTTAGGACAGCAGAAGCTGCACACTTGGCTGTTTGCACTAAAGAACCCATGTACTATTCAAACTCTGATCCAAGACAAGTTCAGCTGAGGCAACTGCCATTAATTAACCTCTGGCTGCTGTTAGACAGTTGAGCTCTTCTAAAACAATCAAAACACTTTGAGATGTGTGTCAGCTTCTTCATCTCCCTGCTCTGACTCCAATCCTATCCAGCCTGTAGCTGAAGTTTCTGCCCTCTTCCTCATGCTAGCTCTGACTTGATGGTGGACAAGCTCAGCTCACAAAGCTAGGTGTAAAATATTCATTCAATTACTGAGTGTCTTTTATCACTGAGACATTGACATGTCATTCAGACATTGAACTAGCTTCTCACTGGGCAGCCAATGGATGCCACAACTGGCAGAAGCGAGAAAGTGTCTTGTGTGACTGGAAGGAAGTACCAGTGGAGCAAAAGGAATACGACCATCCTTTAAGTGACAACAATCAGTGTTAGACAGACACAGTCAATTCAGATAAACAGCCCCCTCAAACACCTCTCACGGAAATAGCTAAATAAAGTGCATAGGAACAAACACCATGCCCTTCATTCTACCTTTATAGGAGACAAAACTAAAAAAAAAAAAAGAAACCTCAATATGTTCAAGATGAAATAAAATCACCTCTTAACAATGGCACAGTTAAGTGCAGTTGTCTTGGCTGGCTAGAAGTCTAGAAGTAACCCTATGAATTAGATAAGGGGACACTTACACTGTAAAAGCCTCTATTCAGTACAAAAGAATGCGACAGCAAGCTTCTGTCTGAGGCCAAAAAAGTATGTGTAAAGCTTTTCTGAATACGAAGAGCCCTGTGTTACAAATGGGATCTGCAGAATGCAGCTCACAAGTGTCTTAAATTCTTGAGGTATCCAAAAGATCACTCTATATAGCAGCAGTGCTACAGCATCAATAAGAGTCTGTACTGAACAGGAAAACCATCAAGATGACTCATGTCATTCTACACTAGATGTGCTATCTCCTGGAGACGATAAAACCTTTTCAGGTAAACCCACCAGGATTTGTCTCAAATAACCTTTTTTTTTTTTTGCTTATGTCTTCTAGAAACCTGACCTTCGTCTGTTTCTGAAGGAACAAAAGTCTTGCAGAACTGAGTAGAAAATTTAGATTACACTTTAGGCACAAAACCCTGCTGAAGATTGTTCCACACTTGTAACAGCTTAAATAAATGGTTGCAAAATGAAAGAATGAAAGGGATAGCAATGTCAATGCTTCTTATCCACAGGAATTTGTCACTGAGCAGACTGTTTAGGAATTTGCTAAGCAGAGACTTCACGAATGCGAAGTGTATTTCACTCTCCTCTCACTCCAGAAGGGAAGGTTGCCACCCTGCCTATACATGTCCAGAGTCCTGGGGAACATCTTTGACTCAGTTTACAGCCAAGACACCATGTCCAATGTGTGTCTACATACAATTGTTTTTGCACAGCATCTATAAAACTTTGACATTTTCATCATCCAGGTTCTCCTCATTTTCTATTTAAAGGACAAAAATATTCTCTTTGTCATTCAACTTTCTCAATTCTCAACCATGTGAAGCCTATTAAAACTTGAAAGGTTTTAAGATGCCACTATATAGGCACATTGATAGGACTGACAGCATGAGATTCAGTTACCTGAGCAGTGCCATTTCAGACATTGTACACTTTCCACTGCTACTCCAAGGGGTCCTAGAGTTCCCCCTAAGTTTCACAGCTCTGCCAGATCTGTACATTATCCATTATCCTGGATGGTGGAAGGCATTTTAAATGACACTGTACACTGTCATTTAGGCAACTCTGTTTCTCTTATGTTGTATTGTTTCCTTGTATCACATTTCCTGCCTTTACCCACTATTGCAATAAATCAAATTAAGGAATGAAGTGCAGCAAAAAATATCCCAGTGGTCCATGAGAATTAAAAGTCCTGCACATTGATGCACACAAAAGAATGAGATGAAGGATGCTACTCAAAATTTGATGCTCAAGCAAGACGGTGATGTTGCTGTACCTGCAGGCAAGAGGTGGGACGCACAACTCCTCATGGACAAGCAAGGTATTGCCAGAGAGCCTGAAAGTTTTGTGGCTGTAATCAGCTGCCTTTGTGTTGATAGGATGTTTCCTCAATAAAACTGGGGCACAATCTTCACACCATCTGTCACATCACTCCTCTAGTATCTATTATCACTAGGAATGCACCACAGATCACATTAGCACAACACTATGAATATTTGTCAGGAATTCCAGACTATACTGATTTTATGTGCATCCTGATCGTGATCATTTCACACAAAGTATTCAAGTATTCAAGTAACAGGAAAAGTATTCAACTGACAGGAAAAAAAATGCTATGTAAGTCTGTTTGAAGAAGAGTTTACAAAAAAATAAAGCCTCTGAATGTGTAAATGTGGATTCAGAATTAATAACTGATATTAAGTTAATTCACCCATAATTCAGCCACAAATCATACAAACTTCACCTTTCTAAGCAAAGAAATTGAAATTGCACACTAACAAGATCAATAAAAGTGCACAGAAATTCACAGGTTTTTCACATAGTTTGTAATCAAATATTCTTTGAAGTCTAATTGCTGCATGTTTGATGTAAGCATTGATTTTGTTGAGATTATATGTACAGCCAGTGCAAACAGTCTAACAATCCTGAGCCTTTATTTGGCTCCATAACCATTGTTCTTGATTTTTCTGCATTTATTGCTGGCAACACCATTCACAGAAGCTGAGATATATTTCTTTGTTAGTTTTGTTCTTGATTTATGGGCCAGCTCTTTGATAGAACTCTTAACAAAAAAACAACAGTGTTTAAATTCAGATGATGAAAGCAAACAGAATATTTGCAATTCTCTAAGTTATTTTAATTCTAGCATGAAGACATCTTATGGTCTCAAAATGAACAAGTCTCTTACTTTCATGTCCTTTCTCTCTAAATATTCACAGTTTTGCTTCTCTCCTGTTTCATTCATTTCATAGATATTTTTCATCTTTACTCACCAGAACACACCAATGGAGCCTTCCCAAAGGTCAGCCAAAGCAACAGATTTTGAAACAGATTTCCAATACTCTGCAGGAAAATGAGTACAGGACACATGTGAGAACGTTGCAATATCCTTCCTGCATTTTCCAAATTGCACTGCAAATGAGACAAACAGAATGTTTTAGTGTTTTTAAATGGAAAAAGATAATCCATTATAGTGCAAACAATTCTGGTAAGTACTAAAAATATTTTTCACAGAAATGTAGGTAACATTAAAGATATGCCACTGAAAAACAAAGATGACAAATTAAAAACTGCAGCGTTCATGAGACAGTTTTCTGTGAACAGCTACATGCTTGCATATAGATCTGAAAAATACATTTATAGATGCAATCCATTATCTTTTTATACTTCAAATTTTCTAATTTTCATGATTGATTAACATCAGCTAAGACTTTCCAAAGCTAAGACTGGATTTGTGGATTAGGTTTATAGTAGTTGACAGTAAAGGGCAGAAGCAAAATCACAACTGATAATTTCTACATAATCAAGGTCATTTCTCATGTTTCTGAGAGATTCTCATTTATAAATGGACACAACTATGCTTAGATATAGCATGGACTCTATAGTGCATAGAACACAATCTAAAATAAAAACAGCTAGTGGTTTTTTGTTGTCTTTTGCTCACAACCTTCCTTGAAAAAGAAAAGCGTAATGACAGAACAAGTCTGATGATGAATTAGAAAGTGACCAACCTATCTGTCCATGCAAGGACACAGAAAATGCAAAATCTTGTTGCTTTATGCACAATGCTGTTACTATAAGTTGGCAAAACACCCCAAAGACCCCAGTCACAACAGCTGATGCTACTTTAAGACATCAATAACCTGCCATAAATATACTAACAAATAACAATATTAGAAATAAGAATATGCATAAAGAAGCCAGGTTTTTTTCTGCCTTGTTGCAGATGCAAAGACAGAAGTCTAGAACTGTGAGACCAGCTGCCAGATCTGGTGGCTGAGCTGGGAACAGACTCCAGGTGGGTGCTCTGCCACCAGACTTGCACGAATCCAGCTGCGACAGCTTTGCCCTCACAGCAGAGGAATCAGTTAGATTTAGAAAGGCCCACAGGTCCCTCTTTCTTCTCATTAATACCGTTTAAATACCAACAGAGGCTGTCTGTCTTTTGAATGGTAACCATGAGATATAACCAGAGAGGAGTTGTTTTGAAATATTCTTGACCTCTGAAAGTGAGACGCAAATTCAAACTGTGGTTGAAGCCACATCTGCTTAGCAAAAACTCTTGAAAGGAACAAGCATTCTGTCTGAAGAAACTATTTTTGGTTTCTGGTGAAAGCTATGACAGACTTTCTCAAATAAATTTGTATCAATTTAAAGCACACTTGGTCTCATTCCAAGGAAACTGTGGCAAATGTAGTGGGCTTCCTAGGAAGAGTATGATTTAGAAAAGGTTGCAAATGGTATGTGAGTTTAACAGCTGCTAGCAGGGTTGTCCCTCCTTAGTATGTATGTCTCTACTGGATAAAGGCCTCTTGAAAAGTATGCAAGATTAGCTCTAATCCCATTAGTACAAGCAAGGATGTACTGTTATTAGGTAAGTTTTTTTAGGCATATGGTTAGCAAGGCTGATTATCCACTTCTACACAGGCAAAACACATTCCAACAATATAAAATTGTAACCAAGCAGCATGCGTTCTAGCCAAACTGCAACTACTCTTAAACTACTGCTAAGATCCCACCAACATTAAAATTTACAAGTAAAATCAGGAAAAATATGCCTAAAAATCCTATCACCTTCTGTCTGTCACAGCATTTTCAATGCCTATCAAATGAAGTAATATAATGATACTACATCAGTGGATTTTGAGGACCTGAGAAAAAAAGTCAGAGCTATGGTTTGAATGACTTGATTTTCTCTGGTTATTTTATTATAGAATTCATTTCTTATATCCAAATAAAATTTAGTTTGGAAGAAATTATCATTGCGCATGTGTATTATACACTTGTTTGCCATAGATTTTCCAGGTGAACTTTCCAGGTTGTAAAGATTGCAAATGTATAAAAATAATATAGGTATTAACAAGCTTTATAAATCACACATGTAAAATAGGTTAAAATAATTCATATGACAAAATTGTTTTTAAAACTCGTCCTATACATTAGCATTTCATTTACAAGTTAACGCAATTTTTTCTTCTCACATCTCTTAGCTGTAAAATAGTCCTGTTTCCTTTTCTTGGGTGGAAGGGATTCAAACACAAAGGAGTCTCATGAAAAGCCGTGTGTGTCATTATTTGTCAAGAAAGAAGATGCACAGGGGAAGAGCCAGAAAGGTTGAGGACAGCAAAGCCCAATGCCTGAATTACATGCTCCCCAAGAAAACTGGATTCTGTCTCGAATTCTGCAAAAGAATTGCCAGGTAAAGCTTGCACGAAGTACTAAGGCCCATGTGAGATGTTGCTGCCGACACTGAAATACCTGTGTCAGGCTCATAGTTTTAGGTCAGATAATCCATCCTAGATCCCCCATTTTCCCACCAATCCCTGTACAAATGGGAGCCACAGGAAGCTTGGAGCAGGCATTATACCACCAAACATGCAGAATGGAAATAATTTGTTAGGAAAAGCTGAAGAAAGGAGTCTGTCTGAAATTCTTTCCTTTCTGGATAAGACAGCTCCCTGAGATGAGAATTCAAAGCCCAGAACCATATTCCATTGCTTAGTTTATCCAGCTCTGCACAGATGCCAGTTTTACATGGTAGTGCTCCTTTCCCTGAAATGATGACTAGAATAGTCACTCAAAACTCACATATTGTATAGTCTTTTCTCAGTATAGGATGCTTCAAACATATATTAATTATATGTCTGGATTGAAAAAATAAGTAGAAATTCATAACCAATATATGCTTGGGTTGTCAGTCCCATCAATGAATTTCTTCACTGTAACTCAGTTCCAACCTTCATTTGCTTTGCTCTTTATCTGCCACTTTCTTGGCATTATCTCAATATCTTGCCTCATCAACTTTAGGTTCCAGGTGCCATCTCAGTTCATTCCCACATTCCATTCAATAATTCATAGGTTCAGACTTCTCGGCCAGCTAGCACACAGGCATCACTATCTGCTAAAACATCACCAGCCTCTGCTTCCAATGCATCACTTAAGCTCCTTCAGGTTAGCTGTCCCTTCTCCTTTTAGAATATACATCTTCCTTCTCTACCACATCTGGGCAAAGATAAGGGATTTAAAGAAAGAGACCCTCTTAGTTCTCATGAACAAACATTTCCTAAGTGTTTTGATACATTGTGGGCATTTTTTGGTAATATTTTAAAAAATTTAGCAGCCTGAAATTCCCTTATTTTTTGTGGCTTTGAAGTATTTTTTTAGCTTATTTTTGTATATTTTGGAATGGAGGATGTGGGAGGAGGAGAACATGTTAACATCTTCCCAGAAGTTTCTTAATCATTCTGAGCACAGAAGCAAGTCAAAGCCAGAAATAAATAGGAAATGAATACAATTCATGCTGCAACTTTTCTAAAATAAACACATCAGAACAATGAAATCCGATGTCTTCTGACAAGCTAAGTGTGTACTTCTTTGCTTACGGCTTTGAACAGTAGTTATTGTCAAGCAGCCATACAGTCAGCCTCCAAATGAGGCATATGGTGACAGAATTCAGGAAAATCAGTACCTGGGAAAATCCACATTTCTCAGTAATTACAGAGCATCACTAAACCTGTGATGGCTGTCCAGTTTTCTATCACGAATGCAGAGAAATTATATTATGTGGAGAAGGAAATTGTAATTATTTATGCTACACATATTCAAAATTAACACATAATGTGTTGTCTTGCTATGTATTTTTCACAACTCAAAGTTCATGGTGGAGAGCTCTTCCCTACATAAAATTGAAGTGTTCTACAGAAAGGGAAAAGTCAGTAAGGGCAGAGTAGTGCTACACACAGCAGTAATTTTAAGAAACAAACATATGCCTCCTCTGCTATTTCACTTGCCTCAACTGCTTCCAAGTCAGGTTGAGGGAAACAGCCTGCAAGATAGGGCCTGCCTTGTATTGAACAGTATTTCTAGAGGTATGTCTTCCTTTCTCTTTCATCCTTCAATGACCTGAAACACACTGCAATAAAGTTTTGCTTCTGGGTGTTCATCTCATATTGAGATTCTAGCATTAGTTTACACATCGCAAATGACATTACAGGAAATGTAAAACATTTCTGTAGTTTAATCTTTTAAGTGTTCTCAAAAGGAAAACAGTTCAATGGGTATTTGTTTAACATCTGGCATGTTTGATCTTTCTGAGAAACTGTCACGTGAAGCAATCTATTACAGAACCTTCTTACTTTTAATCTTACACTGATTACCTGCTATTGGGCACTCCTTGAAACAGAACATTAGAGATCAAACAATGTTTTGCATGTACAGAATTTGATTAATGAATTAATGCAATTCTGTTATTAAACAGCAAAGAGTTGATATTCATAAATGGAAGTAGAGTAGCAAAGAAATATCAGTCAAATGAGATAAATTTTCAGTACAAAGCTTGGGTGAAAACCATTTTCACCTGCTTCAGTGGCACTTACATTTCTCAGGAAGGAATACTTTCTATTTTATGACCTATTTACATAACACCATCATTTCATAAGCTTTTTACTGCACTACTGAGTAATAAGTTAAACAGTTGTGACAGCACTGAATTATGCTTATAAACACTGAAGTGCAGCCACACATCAAAAGGAAGAAAATAAATAGTTAAACAATCTGAATAGTTCAGGAAACAAATTTCTTATCTTTGGATTGATTAGGTTAATGTGCTTATTTAAGAGAAGTATATGCATAAGCACTGTGCAAACTGTTGTTAGACAGACTATATACTATGAAAGTAATTATCATACATGCACACAGCAAGTAGTTTCATGTGTTCTTGACTGTGATGCATCTTCTTATATAGCTAGACAAAGAGACAGATTTCAGGCTATTTGTGAGCATCCAAGTGACTACATTTATGGTTATGATTATTCTAAGAAAAAAAATTCTATTTTTACCACAAGGAAGCATATTGACAAGCTTTTGCAGTTTGTGGCTGATTACATAACGGCTGCTCTGAAAGTAATGTCTCC